ATTACGTGAATTCACATTCCCTGTAGTACTGGACTCTCATGTGAAGCTGTTAATTAGATTTCCTGCATAATGTTTTTGCAAGTAGGAATTGTAGTTTTTATTTTTGAAGGTATATAATTCATGTTCTTCAGCCCAGCTAATTCTGAAACCTTTTTTCCTTCATCTTGGAAAATAGGCTGTACTTAAGGTTAAATCATCAGTTTGCCAAATATTCCAGGCTGCAAGCCCAGGATAGTCTTAACATTAACAGCAAAGAAGGCACAAATATTTAAGATACTAAGTCTTGCAGTTAACAAGTTTGCATCCAAAACACTTTCATATTCTGGATGTTTTTTCTTAAGTGTCAATTATTGGTTATTTTAGATTAAAATCATATGTTATTTCCAGGACCTTGATAACTCTATGTGATAATTATTTATAAGACATCATGAGTAGAAATCCTAGTAAAATTCTGTTTCAGCAACTGGATCCTGGCACAACTCCATAGTAGATCAAGTATCCACAGATTTTATGTTGCCAAATTTCACTAACTCCCAAATTTGTCTTAATCTTTATCTGACTTACATATTGAAGAGGAGGGGGAAGCTAGAAGACACATACCATGCCTTGAAGATCACATTAGAAATCAGGAAAAGGCATGGAAGTGTTTTTTGATAAGTCCATTCATCACTGCAGAACTACCATTACACATTCTTTGATTTCTTTCAATTTAGGAAATACTGTCATATTCGATGGGACTCTTTTCTGCTGAATATTCTTTCTTTGGTGTCCTCAGTCACCTTGGTTTTGTCCTTTATCCTCAGGGACTGCAGTTTCTCAATACTTTTACAAAAGAGAGGTACTCTTTCCTTCTTTCATTTGCTTGGAAAGTGGCCATCCATCCATATAGCTGCAAGGTCTGTTATTCTATGATTTCAGTGTTCATCCTGACACTCTCTTGCTGCCAATTCCAGTAAAACAAATGTGAAAACAAAGTTCTTGATGGCTGGCTGCAAATTTACCTGAGCTGACTTGGACAGTCTCGCTTCACTGAGCAACCAAGTGCTCAAATTATTTATGCTCTCCTTTACCAAAACAGTCTCCCCAAGGATTCAGAAATAACAAGATGCCTAAGCCATAGCTTCTCCAACCATACTCACCTGTCAGGTAAAGACTGAATTGTTAAAAGCAACACCAGTTATGTGCAGAGAAAGAAGTTGCTGTGATGCATGTCATCTCTATCAGCTAAGATAGTATTTCAGCTGCTGGGGAAATTATTTTGGCATGAAACCAGATCCAGCCCTTCTTATGAGCAAGAACATGTACACATTCTTGGGCACACCTCCACACCCTCAGTGGACTAGCAGGCTTCTACTGGTATATATGTATTCCTGTGCATCCTTAAGAAAATAACAGCTTTTGTGCCTTTGTGTGTGTGTGAAAATTGACATGGGTATAGTAATTGTTTTAATTCTATCAAGTAATTAGGTGGTTTGTTTTAGAGTTTTGATGTCAAAAAAATCAGAAACTGCAATGCAGCATTTCTAATCTTTAATGCGATGGGCTCCATGAAGGAGAACTGCTCTACCTGATGGTTGAATTTAAGCCCCAGTTCTGCAGAGCTCTTAACTCTTTGCTTACCTCTGAATACGACTAGTCCCACTGATGTTAGTGCAATAAAATTAGAACATGTCAAAGGGTCCTTCTGTGAGACCCATTATTATAATATAAAAAATATAAAGCTAGAAAGCAAAGTCTATCTTCTCTAACATATAATGTTTCTAAAGATGTTTTTCTTTTAATTTGATGTTACATTTAATTACTCATCAACCCTGTTTTTTATACAGCTTCCTGTTCCTCTTAAAATGACTGCTTAATATCAAAGTGAAGCAGAAGTCATTTTACAATTTAAACTGCAACTAAATTACCCAATTATTGACAACGAAAAATCTTTCTTTAGGGTGTAGTGGAATAAAATAGGTCATATATGTAGTAAAATGAGAACACCAGAGCAGAAACATTAACTCCAAAAATTTTTTTTCTCCTTGTGCAATACAGGATTATAAAAGGAGTAGTGTTGTTTCATTTTGACATGGGACTATGCACTGTAGGCAATCACTCATTGCAACAGGTACCTTGAAATTTATTATCTCTGGCCTCATAGCTATACTTAGCTACAAACCTAGGACTTACCTATACTTACAATGAAAAGTATAGCTAAGTCCTATACCCTGAGACACCTTTCTTTGATGCAGGCTCTTCTTCAGCATAGCAGCTTGAAACACTCTTCTGCTCAGCATCATCTGAGTACAGATCAGGCTATTCTATCCAAGGTCTCCCATTGCTTCTGACACAGGCTGGAAATAATGGCCAAGTTTATTGCTGTGTTATTATTGCTCTAAGGTCAGGCTTCTGGCTCTTTCATCCGTTCTCCTGCACTCTTCCATTCTTTCATTTGTTCATCTTGACCCAACTAAAACTTGTGAACTACATTGCATTTGTTAGATCAAGACGCTGCCTGCCGTGCCTCAGAGCATTAAGTAGGGCACTGGTCCTTAGGGTAAATGGAGCATGGTATGGAGGAATAAACGTTATTCTCTTCAGCCAAGACTCAATGTACATGCTGTATATCTGTTGAGTGTGTATCTCTGACACTGATTTAACAGTTCTTTCTTCTTAATAAGTATATCACGTACCTTCTCCCCCTTTCTCACTGCCAAGGCATGAAAGTGGAAATCACACCATGCAAAAGTTCAAATTGATTTAATTCTATCCCACTTAGGTCACAGCTTTGGGAAGTGCTACCAGGTGAATCTTTAAACTCTTTTTAAAAGTATCATTTTGACATTTATTTTTTCTACCTGGAAGCATCATGAGGAGAAAGGTTTACTTTTTCAAGCTGTACCTACAGTTCTCTAATAGTTTTAGGAACACATAGCAATTTAAAAAGACCGATCAGATGGAGTCCATCATATCACAAGATTCATTTAGCATACCCCACCCTGGTATAAATGTAATCATAGAAATCTAGTGGATTTAGATATCTTGTGTTTTGAAATTCCCAGCAGAAGCTATAGACAGTGTGTGTACACAGGCAAAGCAGTAGATGGCCCAGACACAGGTCTCTCAGCATCAGAGACATTGACAGGCACTTGGCGGTTCTCCGTGGTTTCCAATGGTCTTCTCTTTACGAAGTCAGACTGTGTATGGTCTTCTGTAAAGAAGCCAAGAAAGGTGTTGATCTGCAGAGCATAACTAGATTACAAAACCAAGTAAATCTCCCTGCCTGCTCCAGCACATTGAGGAGAGGGGCTAATGAGCTCAAGCCAACACCACAGCTCTTCAAGTCCTCTGGTTGTGTCAGGATTTTTGTTTTACTGGACATTTTTTTAAATCAAAACCCTTGGGGGCATGAAGAAAAAAATTCAGCAAGTACTACGCTTCCTGCTGTGGTGTCAAACTGGTATCTTCAGAGCAGCCAAGAACATAAGTGTTGACTTACAAAGTGTCTCCTTACAAAGCTGGCCTGATAATACCCCGAAGACAGTCAATGGACATGCTGTCTGCCTTGAAGCATGCTAATGCTTTGGACGTGTTGAGATGTACAGACATCTTGTGTGTTGTGTGCCTACGGCAGGATTAGCTGAGCTGATAAGTTCCTGAACCCAAAGCCTGGCCTTCAAGGATGCCACTGGAACAAAGTATGGACATGCCACCTGTTCAGCTCTGTCTTCCTGGATGGAAACTTCGTTGTTACCTTCTGTTCTTGAGAAGGAAGAATGGTTTCTGCTGCCTCTTCCAGTGAGTGGGAAGGAAGTGTATTGCTGCTTGTGCCTTACTGCGAATACTCCCTGCTCAAAGCAGGGTGATATCACCCAAGATGATGACACAGGAAGAACCTCAGTTGTAAATGAGTCTCAGGCACTCAAGATCACAATGACCAGATGATGCAGCCCAAGTGAAAATTATTTTTGAGATGGGCTGAAATCCGAAGGAGTAGCAGCAGCCGTCTCCTTGCTTTTGGAGATCTCTGTGAGGAAGCTTCCTTCCCGCTGCAGCTGCTGTTTTCCTGATCTCCTCCTCTACTTAAGGCACAGTGGTGCCTGGATGGGGAGCAATCGCTTCATCACCTACCATGGGTTTCCCCAGCGCCATTCGCTGGTGATGAATTTGGCTCATACCGATAAAAGGTATTGAGGCCATTAAATGTATTGAAGGCATATTGTGACACTGTTAAACACATTAGACAAAAGATCAGTGAAGTTTTTGGCAATGAGCTGTGACCTCGGTGGGGATGGGGAAATTTCTCTGTTTTTGTATTTCTGGACTCCATTCCCACAGCAGCCCCTGCGCAGGTGGTTCCTTGCCACCCCGCTGCTTTGTGGATGTTCAGGGTTGATGCCTATGTGAGGGGAACATGTTCCCCACAGCCCTGTCCCGAATTATTGCCCCTCAGCAGCTTGCAGCCAGGTCCAGTTTCGAGCCGTGTCACTGCAGTGGTGAAGCTGGACCCACTTAGTGCTTTCTGAAGGAAGCAGGTCCTGGCCCAAGTTACCCACAAAATCTCAGTCAAAATATCCTCAAATGCTGCGAGGAGGAGGGGGAGAAAGAGAAGTGTGGGGAAAATCCTAATCCTCTTTAGGCCGCAGCCGCTGTGGAGAGCAGTGCCATGGGCGCTCCCCGCGCCAGGTGGGCAGAGGAATGCCTGCCCCACAGCTGAGCCAGCAGCCTCAGCTTTGGCTCTCACATGGAATTTACCCCATGTGGAAAATGGTAACTGGCCAAGGAAGTGATCCCAGAGGCCTGTCTGCTGAACTGGTATAGGAAATGAAGGGGAGCCATTTAACAGGCTTGGCATCTCTAACTGCTTGAATTACACCCCCAGTTCCCTGTCTGAGGTGGACATACAAGCAGGCGGAAACCTAGACAAGTGTTTTTGCTTGAATGCTCAGCAAGGAGGGTGGTGGCGGCGCTTCCTCCTCCGGCTAACGCTGTGCTCTGTTGCTCTGTTTCCCTTGCAGGGACCTGCCACATCGGCTGGGCCTACTACTGCACGGGCGGTGGCGCGGCGGCGGCCATGCTGGTGTGCACCTGGCTGGCCTGCTTCTCGGGCAAGAAGCAGAAGCAGTACCCGTACTGAGCAGCCCCAGGCGCGGGCGCTGCCAGGCGCCACAGGGGCTTGCCGACTCTTCTGGATAACCACGATGGACAAGACGTTTTTAAGTGCTTTCTCTCTGGAGCGGGTGTGGGTGGCCCCAGGGAGGGCAGGGAGGTGAATGGCGCTGCAGAGCCACCCAGCCGGGCTGGGCAGGGACGGGCTCTCTCCCCCGTGCTCGCGGTCTGCTCCGCAAGGGAAACTCCGCTTTGGTAAATGGTGAAATCCTGCGTGCACCAATTCGTTGAGAGGTGGGATGGCGGTGCCCAGAGGCTGGGGCAGCAGCCCCTCGGCACGGCGCTCCCGAAAGCACACACGCACGCACAGATGTTGACCATGGCACAAAATGAGCAGAGAGGAAGATTTTTTGGTGCGATTCTCCTTTCTTTTCCTTTTTTTTAAACACTTCTCTTTGGTGGTTTAAGATTCAGTGTTGCAACACTTTTTAATCTATACATTAAACTTAATAAAAGGACCAATAAGCCACTTTATCAGTATTTTGTATATTCTCTACACATTTTTCTTCCCCAAACATTTAGCCACTGCTTATTCAGCCTTATATAACTTTTATTAAGCCTCTGTGTTTTCAGCATTATTACAAAAATGCAACATAATTACTTGGCATATGTAGCGTTTCCCTATAGTACTTTTATGAAGTGCAGTAAATGGACGTTTTTCCGTCCGTTGGAAATTCCACTCACGGTACTGCAGAGCTCTGTTGGTTATGTATGACTAACAGGAAACTTCTTCCAGACATAGATTTCTGTTGCTGTTACGTTTAGCTCATTGATGTTGTATTGTGCTGTACCATGTTTATTATTTCAATATTCATTTTTGTAAAATATATATATATTATATGTGCTATTTTATGTTTGTATTTGAAAAATCTCTGTAAATAAATTTTTCCTTGATCAATACTTGCAACGCATGGGCATGTCAGTAGATGAAGAAGTTCTTTCCCAGATTCCCACTGGAAAAATCCTTGGAAATAACCATGACTTTTACAACCATGCTGCATCCTTTTGTGTATGTGTAAAACACATTTAGGGTTCAGTTACATTGCCTGAGGATAGACATCTATTGCCACTGGAGGCATTCTGACATGTGCCAAATTTTTGCCTGATGCTGTCAGATGTCCTGCAGGGCTTCAGTGAGACCTTCCCCATTCTGTCCTGACTGCTGTGGACTCAGCATTTCACACAGTACTGCATATCCCAGTTTAAGCAACTGGAAGAAGCCCTTACTTTCTTAATAGCATGGACATTGATCAAATACCTATCAGGCAGTATTCTCTGCATGAGACACTAGGACTTTATATACAAAACTTAAACCTCAATTTTCTTTAAGAAAAACAATGTGAAGTTAAAGCATGGGAACTTGTAAGGGGGTTTGAAACATGACATTAACTAATGTTATTCCCTTTAAGATTTGTTTTTCTGCTTTTGTTTTCCCAATATATTTCTATCGTGTATTTCTAAGTTGCAGTCTATGTTGTCGTTGCAGTTCTGCTGGTTAATAACATTTGTAACTGTTGCAACTCTGAAATCATGCAGTTGCTTCGTAGATTATGCTGGGTGGATTTTTGGAGGTATGTGGGAAATAGCAATGTCAGCTTGCAGTGATCAATCCTGATACCGCTGAACTGAATTTTATCAAGTTTCATTATAGGCTAAGCACTATTTATTTGCTTTATGGTGCTGTGCAATGAAAACAAAATTGTACCTTACCCCTCCCAGATTAGCCCATAATAGCCCTATCACATCCAGCTGCACTTCTCCTAAGAAGCACACCAACGATGCCCTGCGGACTTTTCTCCCTGCACACTTTTCCAGTGACACCAGCAGCAGTGGAACATGTTGCTCTTCTCTCCTGCCCCCAGGTTTCAGGTCTCATCCCTTCATGCCAGCACTCAGGACCATACCCAAACCTGCTGCAGGAGGTCAGTGGCATTCCATATAACCTCACAGTAAGTATTAATATGCCTGTTAGTTTTGTGGATTGCTGCTTTATTAAAACTGAAGGAGATGAAAACACAGTTTTGGCTGTGGTTCCCCCTAGTTCCAGTAAGAACTTTGGCAGGTATCTCAATAGAAAAATGCTGCCTTTGTACAGTATGCTGCTATGGGAACATGCCTTTCCCTCCACTGAAACTGCAGTTTTGTTATGCAAAGTTTCAGTGACTCGGCTATAGAAATATGAGTGTTACTATTCTGAATTTGACCCTCCCTAGATTATATCCTGGGCCATGCACCATGGACAACATTTTAATCTTTTTAGATCTTCCTGTGCTCAGGTTTGGGCTTGATTTAACATGATAAACTGGAGCTATGCAATTACTTGATGAAGTAAATTAGGTTTTTGTTACAATGAGAGAAAATAACAGCATGACTGACTCTCTGATTTTGTATGTGATCTTCCTTTTTTTAATTTGGGCTTTAATAAAGTGTCAATTTTTAGTAATCGAGCCAGTGGTATATGCTGCACCTGCTTTGTAGCTGTTTATCATATAGCCTTCGGCTGCTCTGATATGAATAAACCAATCAATCACAGCTAAATTACATTTGTCCATATTTGTGCATTTTGGTTCTGATACCCATTTTGCACTAGAATATAAATACTATTTGTTATCATGGCTATCAAGCTTCACAGTTACAAACTCTAATAACTTCAAACTGGGTAAAAGATTGCTTTCAATTGCACAGTATGAAGTGTCAATGAAATATTTACAATATTGACTATGTTTAATTTTCCATTTATTTATTCTTGAAGATGAGGAGCTTGGCTTTACATTTGTCAAAACAAAAGACATGGGCTTGCATAGGCTCCTAGGTCACTGAATTCTGTCCTTCCCGTTGCTGGCAGTCGTATCACATAATCTTGTTCATAAATTTGTCAAGCTGTATTTTATAACTATTTAAGCAGTTTTCCCCTGACAACTACAATGGGAATCTCACTCTTTGGGAGATTAGACACTTGTAAGTTCCAGACCACCTTGTGTTCTAGAGCTTACAGGTGTCAGAGGTCACAGTTCACTTCCAACAAATAGTCTGGAAGCAGGAAGTTTCATCTATCACACTTAACTAACACAGGAGTTACATAGAAATAAATCATATGGTCATAGACTACTGTTCATTATCAGAAGCTAACTTAGGACCACAGGATAATTCAGGTGCGGAACTTGGCATCTGTCATGAAGTTTCTGCTGTCTCATTCCTCCAGCCTATCTCAGACCCTCTGAATGGCAGTCCTGCCCCTCAGTACATTGACTTATCCCCCCAGCTTGATGTCATCTGCAGACTTGATGAGAGCATGCTGCTCCAGCCCTTCTGGGTCACTGATAAAGCCATTAAACAGGACAGGTCCCAGGATAGATCTGCGATACCCCACTCACCAGAGGCACCCAGGTAGGGTCTGGCCAGGAGCCAATACCCTCTGAGCCTCAACCAGGCTTTTACCCATCTCTTTGCCTACCCATCCAGACCATGAAGTCCCAACCTGAGTACAAGAAACCCACGGGAGCCTGTGCAAAAAGCCTTGCTACAATCACAAGGACAACCACTGCTCTTCCCACAATCACAAATCCAGTCATTTTACTTTGGAAAACCAACAGGTGGGTCAGGCATAGTTTGTTCTTGATAAATGAATGCTGACTGCTCCCAGTCACTAAAATGAGATTCAGCTGTATAAGGCTACCAGTGGAAATAAGGTGTTGGGATACTGATGCCTTTGTGTGCCTAACTTTTGCTTAGCATGGCTAAATACAGAAAAAAAACCAGTCATCAACAAATCTAGAAATACAAAGGGTAGGAAAAAAGCCTGAGCTCTGGAAGTTGGAAGTATACTTCAGATATGAATTTGACTGAGGCAAGTCAAGGTCAAAGAACTTGGTGCAGTACCTTATTTACATAAATTTGGTCTTTGGAAATGACTTCACGAAAACACATGTTGAAATTCTCCCACCCAAACCCCAGAGAGCTGGAGACTTTCTTTGCCTATGCAGCACAGTGTGCAGTGCCAAGACTCTTGGCCTGAGCATTAATGCAGTATTTACTGAGAGGGAAAATGCAAATACTATCATTCAAGCATTAAGCTAGGGAGAAGCATTTCTGCATAAATATGAGGCTTGTGAAGGCCCTGTCTGGAGTTTGAGAGGGCATTATGCTCTTTCTGTAGGAAAAAAAAATCATTACTTTCCAAGACCTACATGTTAACAAATGAGTCAAATTTTCACTGCCTGCTATAGAGTTTGCTCCCTCCCCAAAATGCAAATATGTGTATATGAAGAAAAACCCTTTAAAAGTGTTTTGAAATGAGATTTAGATAGCTCCTGAGGTGATTTAACCCCTCTATTTCCTTTGATAGAAAATTCAGAAATCAGCTGCAACTGCAATTTGTCTGTCATTCTAGAGTTTTAAATAGTCTGTGAAAAATATCAAACTGAATGACATGACAAATAATCTGTACATCAACAGAAGCATTAATTCTACTCTACATACTTAACCTTTCAGAGAGACAATGGTGAAATTAGATACGTCTTTTTTTAGAAGTGTCATTTTAGTGTAATCCCTTAAGCAGACAGGATTTTAAATATATGCTTTCAAGTATTAAGTGTTTTAATTATTATTATTATTTAAATAATGAAAGATCAGAGAAAATGAGGACATTCTGGAAAGAGTTTCAAGTTCAGTTCTCTTAGTGGCAAAAATGATGGTTGTTAGGTGACATATAAATAGGTGGCCATTTTTCATGCTCCTCACCAAGAAACAGAATGTTCATTGAAATTTATATAGGTATTTTAGCTGAATAAAGACAGACTCTGACTCTTTTCATGGACAATTTTACGACCTTTTAGTCTGCTAGCAATATTTGCTAAGAATATCAGTATGTTAGGGATATTGTATGTTATGCCAAGTATATTAAATTAAGCCATCACAAGGAAAACTATAATCTGTATGGAACATATGGCACAACTTCATTATACATAT